GCCAAGGTGGGGATTTGACTTGACATCATTACAAATCTTAGCAAACTCCCACCATACTGGGGCATATTGACTGGTAAAACCCCCACCCAGGTTGGGAAACCTTTTTAATTCCCTGACTGACTTTATTAACATTTCGTTTGAATTTTCAACTTCTTTATTGACAAATTTACTAGAGCAAAAAGGCAAATATGATAACAGACCAAGATATAAATACAACAAATATTTGACAATAAGTAAACATAATGACCCCTACCCACTTATAAAAAAGTCAGGGTACAAAATGGATGATGGAGTAGCACATTGCTATAAATTTATATTAAAAGGAAATCTGTACCATCTCCATTGAAAGTAATTGCTGCAATGATAAGTTTAATTGGAAATAGCAGCCAACATTCCTTAACTTTCACAAGCTGATGTTATAGACTGCATAAAATAGTTCCTAGGAGCTATATTTTATATTTTGACTTAAAGAATGAGGAAATATAGAACTTCAGAAACCACATGGGTTTAACACTAGACGTTAAACGAGCTGTGTNTATTCTTCTCGCTATAGCTCAATCCGTAGAATTTACAAGTCATTTATTGGTAAAATTGTCAAAAAACTGAACATAGATTTTTGCTTAAATATTTTATTTTCTATCTTATTTTATGCACTTATCAATTGAAACCCCGACCCCCCCCACCCCGGGCCAAGGTGGGGATTTGACTTGACATCATTACAAATCTTAGCAAACTCCCACCATACTGGGGCATATTGACTGGTAAAACCCCCACCCAGGTTGGGAAACCTTTTTAATTCCCTGACTGACTTTATTAACATTTCGTTTGAATTTTCAACTTCTTTATTGACAAATTTACTAGAGCAAAAAGGCAAATATGATAACAGACCAAGATATAAATACAACAAATATTTGACAATAAGTAAACATAATGACCCCTACCCACTTATAAAAAAGTCAGGGTACAAAATGGATGATGGAGTAGCACATTGCTATAAATTTATATTAAAAGGAAATCTGTACCATCTCCATTGAAAGTAATTGCTGCAATGATAAGTTTAATTGGAAATAGCAGCCAACATTCCTTAACTTTCACAAGCTGATGTTATAGACTGCATAAAATAGTTCCTAGGAGCTATATTTTATATTTTGACTTAAAGAATGAGGAAATATAGAACTTCAGAAACCACATGGGTTTAACACTAGACGTTAAACGAGCTGTGTCACGAAATTTACCAAAATGTAGGCTGTGGGAACTGCCACCAAATTGAGTGAAACATAAAAATAACCACATTAAGACATTAAAAGATGGTATAAATGACTCAGCAAATACAAAAGAAGGTACAGATGGGAAAACATGAAGAAGATTAAAACGGATTGAAATTTTGGTTTTTGAAAACTTGTTAACCTAACAGTTTTTCAGAGTTCATTGTTTTTGTCCGTAACGCTTGATATGCTTGGGAGAAACATCTGTTTGAAATGAAGCTTTGATTTCTTCATTTCTTTGCCCACGATAACGCTCAAAAGCGAGTAGGGACCACGTAACTGGCAATATTAACAAAATGAACCAGATAGCCGTGACACAGCACCTTTTATAATAAGTAGAGGAGTGTGTATCTGCATTGTTTGAGAAGTTTTGAATAACGATAACAATTTCCAGTCAACGAACCATGAAAGCTCAAGGCAAAATCGCAAAGGATTAATCTAAGTGAAGAAATGAAAGGAAAAACAATTAGGAAACTTACGGCCGAGCAATACATCAAAATACCAGTGATCGCGTGAAGAAATTACCCTGAGGAAACTAGGCACGAGTCAAATCCCCACCTCGCTCCCCGACTTCCATGGACTGCCATGAATATGCTTAGCAAATCCTGAGAAATCCCCCACCCCCACGGGCTAACCATGCCTTCAAATACCATAAAAATCCCCCACATTACCCCACATAGGCCCGAGGTGGGGGGGGGGGGGGCCCGGGGTTTCAATTTAAAAGGTTTTTAAGGCATCGCGGTCCTTTTTGCAATCTTAAA